GCAGTTAATACCAAACATTTCCCCAAATTCAGTGATTATTATGGACAATGCGTCATACCATTCCCGACAGAAAAACAAAATTCGGAATACAGGCACAAAAAACAAGACATTATTGATTTTATGAAGGATAAGAGAATGGAAATACCACAAAAATCAACCAAAGCCATCTTATTGGATCTTATTGAAAGACAAAAATTTGAAAAAGAGTATGTTGTTGACAATCTGCTTCAGCAAAATGGCCATGAAGTATTACGTCTACCTCCCTATTACTGCATTTTTAACCCGATTGAGTTGGTCTGGGCTGCTTTAAAAAAAAAAGTAAGAAAACAAAATCAGACCCCTCAATTAAGTGAATCGCTATTGGCCACAATAAGAGATGCAGTATCTCATATTGCTGCCACAGACCTATGGAAGCAGTGTTCTAGGCATATTATTGAAAAAGAAAATGAATATTGTGTTTTGCCTCCTGTAAATCCCGTTGTAATTCCTCTACAAGATGACTCTAGCGACAGCTCCGAAGGCGAGGATGATATATAAATACCTATAATGTAAGTCTTTATATACCTTTTTATATACCTACCTGCTATGTAAATATTTGCCTATGTCAAACGTTGGAATTCTGTAATTTTTCCATTTCTTAACTTTCAGTCAACTTAAATTAAACTCCCAATATAAGTATTTTTTATCCCAAATCAAAAAAATAAGAAGATAGTAAAATCCATTTATTGTTATATAAAAACATTATTATTATCGTTCTAAATAAATGACCGCACGCCTATGATACGTCATGAAATTACAAAGGACGCGCCGACCAAAGGTTTTTTTGCTATTTCAAGTGACTTCAGATAAAGTATACATAATTTGCACATTTCATTACTAGGAGATTTTTTACAGAAAATTGCATTTTTTATCGAATAAGTTAGTAAAAAAAAGAAAATGATACATTCAAAAGCGTAATTTTAAGACGTTTGTAGCTTTTCAACATTTTATTACTTATTATGAACTATTGGAATGTCTGCTATGCTACGATAACAAAAAACTCAAAATCAAGCTTGCAGTTTTTTTGTATTTCAATTTTAACCGTCTGAAATCGGAATAAAAAATAAAAAACTTAAAATTCGAACAACTCAAAAATGCTTAACTTTTGGATAAGACATGATAGGACAAAATCGGTTGCTTTTGACCTAATCTATCACCCCTTAACAGGAATACGTGACATTACAATTCACCCTGTATAAGTATTTCTATACATTCTGGTTTAGTGTTTGGATTGATGAAATAACCATTAGTTTTATTTTCCTGTTACATGAGAAACTATCGCAGTAGTGTGCTCAAGTTTATTGCGTAATATGTTGTAGAAACAAAAAGCACAATAATCTATTTATTTTACAGTTTTATATATCGATAAAGCTATGACGATTCGGAGCGCGATAACGTGGCAATATTTTCATTATACAGGGTTGCCCAACGAAAAGGTCGCACCACTATTTGTGACTTGAACATTTTGGGAAAAACGCTCAGACAAGTCAATTTTGATTTGTAGGGGGACGTCTTTTCATCTAGGGCCGTACAATAGAGGGTGATCCAAAAATAAGATATTGCCTTACACTTTCCCTTTTTTAATGGAAACTCCAAGATTTTTTTATTCTTTAGATTCTACATGAAGTTTTCAGTAACTTTTGTAAAATAAAGGTTATACCATCTTCAATTTTTGTGAAGCTATTCTAGAAATTGTGATAACAAGGGATTATATCGTAAAAATAATAATCAATAATATCCCTTAGTAACAAGACTTTACTTTCAAATTAAAATCAAGTCTCCGAGTATTAAAAAAATAAAAAAAACAACTTACCGTTTAAACGCACATTAAAGTTAAAGTAGAAATTAATTTGCTATAAAGAGGTAGGTCAAAGTGGTAATAAGTGCTGAAAGTGGTGTCCATTTAATTCCATGCAATAATCGAAAAAATGTGGACTCGAGTTGCTCCAATATAATAATAATAATCCGGCTTTATTTATACAAAGTATGAACAAGCGAAGTGTCGCTAAAAAGCGTTTTTCAATTTAACCCAACACATATTTATGTAAATTTTCTAATCCCAATCAAAACAAAAAAGTTAAAAAAAAACCTGTAACGAGTCCCTATTCATGGCCACGGTCTACTTACTGGGTAATGAAATCAGAGATAAAATTCTTCGATCTTTTTTTCAAATTCTTTATAGAGTAGCGAGTGAACTAGGTAGGCAACGCGTTGTATAGCTTGATAGCAGTATATACGTACGGCCTTTTAAATAGAGATGTTGAATGTCTCGGGATAACCAAGATATGCTTATTCTTTGTGTTCAGTTGATTAACATCTGAGTATCTGATAAATTTGGTTGATAAATATGGAGGGGCTTGAAGTAGTAGTAGAAAGATTTATTTAGCACATTTGGCTACATAAACAGAATAATTGTAAACAACTTAGATCTAGCAAATTCAAGCCATATGGTGTATGATGTAAATGCTGGGCAACCTATAATTGTAGATTTAACAAGTGATTTCTCAATTTTACTTTAAATTTTGTCAAATTTTTCTGGTCTTTTATAAGTATTATAATTTATTATATTCAATCAACCCTTGATGGAATACAGATTTGTAGCATATGACATTTAATGATGTTAAATTAGTTAGCATGATGGAAATATATAATTTTATTACTTTATAAATGAATATCATTACAAGATATTTGATAACATTTTTTACATTGAGCCATTTTAATTTGTTAAGCATTTGCCTAATTGGAGTATATTTATCTTTATTTAGTATTATTCGCATGCACTTATTTTGTAAAATTTGCAGTCTTTCAAAAATGGAATTATTTGCTAAATATAGAATAGTCGAACAGTACAAGAAATTTGGAAGAATGATGGTATTATAGGTAATTTTTCTGCTATATGAACTCAGACATCCAGAAACTCTCGATAAATATCCCACTTTACTACTAATCTTATTTATAACTTTTTCATAATGAATATCAAACATTAATCGAGATTCAACAAAAACCCCCAGGTATTTAAAATTTTCTACGAATTCAATATCTTCACCATCAATATTCAGTTGAACATTTGTACATTGTTTTTTTCCGATTAACAAGGCTTTCGTTTTACTTGTATTTAATTTTAGTCTGTTAGATGCTAACCATTTTGAGACAAGTTTCAAGTCTTCATTTATATAAGAGATACCAGACTGAATATTTTTAGTACTTGTATCGGAACGATATTATTAACGAGGATGTAGAGGAGGCAGTTGAAGAATGGGAGATTGGGAGAGATATTCGTGGGCACCGAGATCCTTTCGTAATTTCGGATCGAAAATTTGTACAGATTTTTAGGTTGACCAAAGATTTGGTGTATGAATTGCTGGAGAGCTTCTGCACTTTCGATCACAACAAAGACAAGATTAGATATTTTAAGTTTTAGTCATTCTAAAACAGTATCCTTTAATCTATGACTGAATTTTCCGTGGTGCATTTGGGGGTGCTCTCGGAGAAATTCAATCATTTTGTCCTTTTGTTCATTGGTAATGTGCTTATTTAAAGTTTTCGGCTCTGTAGATAAGATTATAAGCAGAAAATCTTGACCAAAATCTTTGGACTCAAAATTATCTCCATTTTGATTGGTTTAACACGTTTACTCAAACCTGGCAATCCTGTGTCTTGATTTCCTTTCTCCTTTCTATCGAGTCTTTTCAAGAATACAGTATTTTCGAATCGATAGAAAACCGGGGGTAGTAGAAAAAGAGGTGTGATTTTCTATTAAAGTCAAGAATAGGGGCACAGGAGAGTTACAAATGGGGGTGCGAATTTTTCGGGCCTCCCTGTATATTGTAGCAAGGACGCTCCTTAACGACATTGTAATACTTTCAATGCAATCGTTATTGTATTTATTTAATATTTTGTTGAATTGTAGTTCAAACGCATTTGAGTCTAAACAAAATCAATGTACTAGAACTGAGTATTTTTAACAAATATTTATTGAAGGAATAAGGCACATTAAAACAGATCACTAAAATCGTCAGTAAAACCATACATGTATGTATGTATATTGTAAAAAGATTTCCTAATTAGTTAGCCTTTGAGTGTTTCTTAAAGTGTTACGTGTTTAGTAACGGACTGATAAAACGAAATAAGTCCGGGTTTTTAATCTAACTACTATGCCTATAGCTTCAAAGCTTTGGCATAGTAGTTACCTTATGTGGAATTCTAAGCTATAGAGGGGCGAAGGGTTAGCATATTTTCGAATGAAATTTTTACAGTATGCTGAAAACAATCCCACAGGGTGCTATCTAGTCGCTTTTTCATTGTTTCCAATAGGCTCTTTAAAAAAAAACCGCGAAGTTCAACAAAAGAAGTAAGCACTTCAACCCACCATAGATCTTGTGCAGAAACAAAATTTCAAAATTTGCTCCGATAGCACCCTGGGCAACTGTCTTCTGAACATACTGTATGAATTTCATTCGAAAATATTGAGAATAGAGTGTCAGTTACGAATCTTTAGAGATTTAATTCCATTTCTGTGTATCTCAAAGATTTTAGATCATTTTTGATAAATTCACGCACTTGTTCAATCATCACCATACACTTGCATCAACGTCTGATGCATTTCGGTAAATGTTTTTACCAAGTTTAATATAGGACTTAATGTTGGACTGATGCTATAAAGGTACTGTCACTTTGAGCGCGATAACTCCACGTGGAGTGGTTCGATTGTCATTAAATTTTGATAGGGAATCAATGAAAGATGTACCTATCCAACGGCGATAATAGATGGCGCTACTTGTATCGCTTATCTTTCAAAAGTCCTGTTTACTCTGAGACATACCTTGCACTGAGCATCGCAAATGGGCGCTTCTTGTTGGGATCGGTGATGGGGGAGCCGACATAGTCGACGGTGTTGCCAGATTTATTTTCGAGACAACCCTCGTATAAACAGTTATTTGACTTTCACTGTTTCATTCTAGGATCAATTGTTGAGAAACCGCTTCGCAGAGCAACTCCCCACAAGCGTGCCATCAAAAAGAACACATAATAACTTGCAGGAAAAATCTAAATTCTACAAACCGTTACCGTGCACACATTTTTTTGGCGTACTTTGCTTGATCGTCGTCGTATTCACTCTAGTCATAATCATTGAGAAGCAATTACCAGCTGGCTTGAAGATCGCCAACGAAGCTAATCATCCTGATAGTTTCATAGCTGAAAGAGCATACAGGGTATTGAGAAACCTAACGAAAATTGGTCCTAGGACTGCTGGGAGCTTTGAGAATGAAGTGCTTGCCGTTAATATACTGAAACAAGAGATTGAAGGTAAGTTTACCTTATTAAGTATACAACTAAAGTCGCAATTTATAGAAATGTCTGGAATTAATGTATATCCAAGGTACATATGTTTCTGTGATTTCTATTTAGTTAATGAAATAATCCGTATATTATACTAAGTGACATATAAATCCGAACACCCAGTTTAATGGGTTTTTTTGAATAAAAGTTGGTGAATGTATTCATCTTACTGTAAATAACAAGTGAAAAAATGTTCAGCCTTATCAGTTGGACATTCCGGTTTTTATACTGCTTTTTTTTAATTCACTAACGCTCAAAAAATGAATATTTCAGCCGCAGTAAAGAATCAACGTCGGCGGATTTTGGTTCTTGACATCCTTTACGATCGGTTACGATGCCTAGAGTCAACTTAGTGAGTTTGATAGGGGCCGTATAGTGGGACTTCGGGAAGCTGGACTTTCTTTTCGGGCAATTGCAGTTAGAGTGCAAAGAAGTGTAGACACTGTGGTTAGGTGTTGTCAGGCATGGCTTCGAGCAGGCCGTACGCAAAGAGCAAGGGGCACTGGACGCCGCCGTAGAACAACAGACCGTGAAGATCGTCGCCTAAGATTATTGGCCTTAAGGGACCGTTTCTCCACTACCAGGTCCATTGCAAATGAATGGTTTGCAGAACACGGAAGACCTATTGACATGCGAAGTGTTTACCGACGAATGAGAAGTTTTGGCTTGTTTTCATACCGGCCACACTGGGTCCTCCCTTTAACTCGAGAACACCGAGGTAATCGCCTTGAGTGGTGCAGACAACGGTCACTCTGGGATCAGGAATGGAACAGTATTGTCACAGCCGACGTCAACTACGGTATTGTCTTTAGTCACGATTCTCGATTTTGTTTATGCATGCACGATGGTCGTGCCAGGGTTAGTAGGCGACGTGGTGAAAGGAGGAATCCACAGTTTTTTGTTGAAAGACATGTTCATCACACTGTTGGAGTTATGGTTTGGGGTGCTATAGCTTATGGTTCCAGGTCACCTTTAATCTTCATCAGAGGTAACATGAACGCGCAGCGTTATATCCACGAAGTTCTAGAACCCCATCTTTTACCCTATCTTGACACCCTGGCAGATCCAACTTTCCAACAAGATAATGCCCCACCACATGTTGCAAGAGTCACAATAGACTTCTTTCAACATAATGATGTCACATTGTTACCATGGCCACCAAGATCTCCCGACTTATCCCCAATTGAGCACGTGTGGGATATGATGGGTAGGAGATTGCTCAATTTGCAACGTCCTCCTCAGACTCTAGAAGCACATCGAGAGGAGTTGGTGGTTGCCTGGAATGAGATACCACAGGAGGACATTGACCACCTGATCAGAAGCATGCCTAGGCGCGTTGGAGAATGCGTAGCACATCAGGGTGCATCCACACATTATTAAAGGTCAAAGGGCTTTAGAGCAGTGCAATCATTTTGAAATTTTTATCATTTACTTATTATGCTTCATTAAGTACTTATACAAAATTTTATTACAGCATGGAAAATCTAATGTAAACCTAATCCTACTTGGACTTAGATATTTAACACTTAAAACAGTCACAAACACTTTACAATCCAGATCATTTCTATATTGAAACGAATTTAATTAAAATTTAAATATGTGGGAAAATCAACTATTAAATATTACAGACAGGAATCTAATTGAATTTTGAATGTTTTCTGACTTCTGAAGAAATCCAACTTATTAGAATACTGATTTGCAAACCTTGAAGATCTAGACAGGAAGGAATTACTAGCATAATTAGTACGAAATGATATGACGAGAAGGGACATGGAGATTCATATTTTTCAAAAGTTCTGGAGCAAAACTAAGAGAGTGCAAAGTATTATAAAATAGTGACAGGTCCCTCTTATCTGAAGCGTTGAGATATTGAGAGAGCTTTCAATGACAGAATAGATACTATCTTCAACCATAATGTTTTGTTTGAATGAAATGAATCTTAAGAATTTATGTTGCACTCTCTCAATTCCCTAAATATGAACATTAGAGTTATGTAACCCAACACAAGAACAAAACTCCAAATGGGGACTGACCAAAGAACAAAACAACTGTATATTATGAAAATCCTTAGCTCATCGTTTTATAAATCCCAACATATTTATATGGGTAATAAAGGATAATTTTGGGTCAAGAATTACCCCTAAATCCCAAACTTGGGATACACTCTTTAGAGGACAACCTTTCATGGTATAAGTATGATCATGACCGCTGAAGACCATTAAATGACATTTTTCCACATAAGTTCCATTCTATTCATTTGACACCAGACTATGAATTCAAATCATTTTGGATATTTAAACAATCATTATTATATCTGATTTTTAAGAATAATTTCAAATCATCTGCAAACATTAGAAAACTAACAGACTTAAAACAGTATATAATATCATTCACGTATATATTGAAAAGAAGAGGACCCAGATGGGAACCTTGAGGTACTCCAGATAATGTCTATGGAAAACCTGTTCAATCAGCCGATGAACTGCGTCATCGAATCCGTCAAACAACACGGAAAATATCCGATTTAAGTTTGAGACGTTTAAAACGACAAAGATGCAGGTTGTGTATAAGAGTCGGTGGTAGACATTTTGAAAATCTCTTGTGAAAATAATAATATTATTTATTTCAGGCAATGTTACATTACAAGATGATAATTTAATTTTCAGCTAGTTAATTCAACATGTTAATAATTCCTAATTCTTTATTTGATTTGACTGTTGTAAAAGTCAATCCACTTCTTAGTGAAAAAAATTTACCAGACTGAATCAGCAACTGACCTTAAAAACTAGCTATTTAATGCTCTTTCAAAAGTAGTATAACATGTTTAGGTTCGTTTTACTAAAAACTGAATAATCCCAACTTTTGTCATTGAACTCGTAATACTACAAATAAAAATTAATATACTAAGTGACATATAAATCCGAACACCCAGTTTAAATGGTTTTATTTTAATAAAATTTTGTATAAGTACTTAATGAAGCATAATAAGTGAATGATAAAAATTTCAAAATGATTGCACTGCTTTAAAGCCCTTTGACCTTTAATAATGTGTGGATGCACCCTGATATGCTACGCATTCTCCAACGCGCCTAGGCATGCTTCTGATCAGGTGGTCAATGTCCTCCTGTGGTATCTCATTCCAGGAAACCACCAACTCCTGTCGAAGTGCTTCTAGAGTCTGAGGAGGACGTTGCAAATTGAGCAATCTCCTACCCATCATATCCCACACGTGCTCAATTGGGGATAAGTCGGAAGATCTTGGTGGCCATGGTAACAATGTGACATCATTATGTTGAAAGAAGTCTATTGTGACTCTTGCAACATGTGGTCGGGCATTATCTTGTTGGAAAGTTGGATTTGCCAGGGTGTCAAGATAGGGTAAAAGATGGGGTTCTAGAACTTCGTGGATATAACGCTGCGCGTTCATGTTACCTCTGATGAAGATTAAAGGTGACCTGGAACCATAAGCTATAGCACCCCAAACCATAACTCCAACAGTGTGATGAACATGTCTTTCAACAAAAAACTGTGGATTCCTCCTTTCACCACGTCGCCTTCTAACCCTGGCACGACCATCGTGCATGCCTAAACAAAATCGAGACTCGTCACTAAAGACAATACTGTTCCATTCCTGATCCCAGAGTGACCGTTGTCTGCACCACTCAAGGCTATTACGTCGGTGTTCTTGAGTTAAAGGGAGGACCCAGTGTGGCCGGTATGAAAACAAGCCAAAACTTCTCATTCGTCGGTAAACACTTCGCATGCCAATAGGTCTTCCGTGTTCTGCAAACCATTCATTTGCAATGGACCTGGTAGTGGAGAAACGGTTCCTTAAGGCCAATAATCTTAGGCGGCGATCTTCACAGTCTGTTGTTCTACGGCGGCGTCCAGTGCCCCTTGCTCTTTGCGTACGGCCTTCTCGAAGCCATGCCTGACAACACCTAACCACAGTGTCTACACTTCTTTGCACTCTAACTGCAATTGCCCGAAAAGAAAGTCCAGCTTCCCGAAGTCCCACTATACGGCCCCTATCAAACTCACTAAGTTGACGAAATCGTACAGGTCTCCTGTACTCTAGGCATCGTAACCGATCGTAGTGAATTAAAAAAAAGCAGTATAAAAACCGGAATGTCCAACTGATAAGGCTGAAAATTTTTTCACTTGTTATTTACAGTAAGATAAATTTATTCACCAACTTTTATTAAAATAAAACCATTTAAACTGGGTGTTCGGATTTATATGTCACTTAGTATAAATGTTAGTATGTATGTGTGGGATAAATCCTGAAACTGAATTTTGAACCAATTAACCTTAACCAATTTAGCTGAAATTTTTTATGCCTGTCTGGTTCGTGTGACAATAAATAATAATAACTGCCGCCATTTTGTCAAAATGTCAATTCAAATATGTCGATCGCCGCAAGGTGGCGTTTATAATTTCTATAGTTACCTCTATGATATGGTTATCGACTGAAAGGGCTTGACGAGAGAGATACAGTAAGCACTAATGTGGCGGTCACCGCAAAATATCGATTTAGGGGAGGTTGATGAAGGAAACACAATAAGCAACGTGACGACATTCTAATATAATATGGCGGACGTTTAATATGACAATTGACAATGCAATATTATTATGACATGGAGATGATCTGATCATGAAGCCAGGAAGTGGCCATGGAAACTCATCGAATAGAGCCTCGCTTGATTCCTAATGACAAGAACTCTAGTCGTACGGTCTGATGATTATGTGATGATCTTAAAATATGCATACGTATAATAAAACAATAACAAAGATCTTATATGAATTATTATCGTTTTTTTCATCAATCTATTCTTACTCATATTATCCGTTTAAATTTGGCATTGTGATATTCGATTTCTCAGAAACTGAACTAAATTCATTATTTTTCACAGGGTGTAGATTTTGCCGATTTCTTTAAAGCCTATAATATGAAAAGTACACAACATATTTTTTTATACTATTCTGATAATTATTATGACTTGGTCTATCCCCAGTTTCCGGTTTGACGTCGATTTCTGAGAAACTCTGTATACATTTTTTCATAGTAGTTAATATCGACCTCATCGTAGTATAAAAATCGATAATTTACAAAATCTATTTAATTTAAGGCATTATGAAAGAAGCGAACGACCATCATGTGATAGAGATGGACGTCCAGAGAGCCTCGGGGGCCTTCAACCTGGAATTTCTCGATGGGATGACAAACGTATATCAGGACATGCAAAACGTCGTCGTGAAAGTCGGTTCCAGGATTGCTTCACCACACAGTTTGCTCATCAACTGTCACTTTGATTCGGTCGTAGATAGTCCAGGTAATGTTTTTCCAACTCTTATTAGAATTAAAAAAAAATGTGTCATGTAAGTTGACTCTTTACTTCCGAGGCAGTTCGTAAGGGATTATGTTTTGAGAAAAAAAGTTAACTACGAACATATTTAACAAAAAATAAATGACCCGCGCGAATTACGATATTGACCTTTACCATGCGCAGTGCACGCAGTCCACAGCAGTGCGGAAGCGATTGCCGTCTGTGACGTACGACCACCGAGCACGACGCTTGTGCATCGGACGACGACGTCGCATGTATCGTCATCCGACTGTAGGAGATATTTCGAAGTTTTAAGGGGAAATTAGGCTGGCGATCCATCTCACTTTTGTTCGATATTTTCGCTATCGCTGTGCATATTGTAGTTGATGAACGTTTTCGAAGGAGCTGTCCTCCTTCTCGCAAGCCCCACGAAATTAGACGAAGAGAACTTTTTATGAAAATCAATTATGACAAAGTTATACATGCTCTCCCAAGCTGGGCAGAAATTACTAGCATTAGTTGAAATCTACGTTGAATTTTAATTCAACTTTGCTGAAAGCACTCTATTCAGGATGTTCCTTAATGATATCCGAATATTTAAAGGTGTGAATCTACATGAAAAATTAATATTCGTTTGCTTTATAAACTATTATGGTCCAATAATGTTCCCTCACAAAAACTCGGGGTGTTGAAGTTTTAGGAAAAAAATGGAAATTAATTATTATTTTCAGAACCGCTTCAGATATTTCACTGATATTTAGTACGTAGTGTTAAAGTAGTTGATAAAGTTGCATATTTTTCAAACAAAAATAATTTTCAGCTTTAACAGTGGCGTGCGTACGGGTATTGACTTCGATTTTTTTTCAAGAAAAAATGGTACGCCAACAGTTTTTTGTCAAATAAAAATTATTTTTGAATTCCCCGTTCAATTTAAAACAAATGATCCCTCTTGAATTGCTTTCTTCGATGAGCCATTTTCGAGTAAAAAAATAAAAACCGTTCTATTGTCTAACTTGCAAAATTATTATTAATTTAATTGGAAAAATTAAACATATTAGGGGTAATGAACAACAACAACTGACATAGTAGACATAATATATTTTGTGATATACTGTGTAATATGGATATAATGGATATTGTAGCATTAATGCTAAATAAATCTGAAACAAACAAACAAAATTAAAACATTATTACTTTTATTGGTTTGCTTTATTTATTGGCGGTTTTTTTGTTTTAATAACCATAAACAGTGCTTATCATAGAGTCAAAATCAAACTGTGATAACTTTTATGTTTTTAGACCTAGAGTAATGACTGTGGCACCACTTTCTAGATAATTGAGAGACATTTTGAAAACATACATTAAATTCATATGTTAAGGATCTGGTTTATCTGAAAAATTGAAAAATGTAAAAATTCGTATTCTTCATTTGTAAAAGTTTGCCCGTGCTCGCTATGGCGAGGTCCTGGCGGATCTTCTGCGTCTGCCATGATGATAAAGAAACCACTCGAAATGAACTGGGAAACTGGACAATAATAATCGTGCGTAAAACGTGTGCGCGTACGCAGTATTTGATACCAACTACAGTATATTCAGATAAGAGATAGACCGGACATAAACAAGACCACGTGATCATCGAACGCTGTAACATTCGGCAGGGACGTATTAAGAGTCACGCAGTACATATTTTAGATAGTAGATGCTGCTTTGCGTAACTTTGTAGTAAATTAGCACAATTCGATGTGTATACGATTGGTGATGGATATAGGATCATGTGGGGGTGGGGTAAGAAATATATAATGATGTAAATATACATAAGGGTTTCAAAATTTTCGCTTCGATTTCCAGCTTCGGATGCCGCCTGATGTTTGGTGAAATACAGTCGAATATAATCTCAAAATGGCGTTTAAATTAGCCTAAATTAAAAATAATCGTATATCTCTTAAAATTGCTTTTAGAATATTGATTAGTATATTTTTTGATTTCTAGGTAAATATGTAACCAAATTAAAACGTTCAAAACGTAAAAAAATGTGCATGGTTGAACATTGTCAGAAATTAGATTCTTGGGTTCAAAAATGTCAATAATTAATTAAAAAATACAGTAGCTTTATAATAACTTATAACTTACCGAATTTGATGAACGACATCTTTTATTGGAAAGATGAGCTTGATGAGCTTTCATCATCGCTACTGCCTGAAGCAGCAACGTCAATAATGAATGGCTCGACTTGTTCCTCTAAAATATTGTCCAGTTCCCACATTCTCTTTTCAACTTTGTCTTTCACGTGCTTAATACAGTTTTCCCATTTTTGCGCTGTTATTAATTCTAGTGCTTCTTTGAAAAGTCCTTTGAGGTCACAAAATTTAAAAGTTGTATTGTGCTTAGCTATATAATTTTTAACCTCTGCCCATATGAGCTCAATGGGATTGAGCTCGCAATGGTATGGAGGTAAACGGAGCACAGTTTTATTTTGACTTGCTGCCATTTCGTCAATGGCGTATTTTTGATATTCCGCCTTGTGATCCTTGACAATTCTTAATAATTGTACTTTCAGCATTGCTTCTTCAAAGTTGATATTTTTCGAGCGGAGCCAATTTTGAACATCAACTTTCCTTGAAGCCGTTGTTGGGACCTTCTCCATTCTTCGAGAATGATAAGGCGCATTATCCAACACAATTACTGCGTTTTCCTCTAAGTTCGGTAAAATTTTTGAAAACCACTGTTCAAACGATTCGCCATTCATTTCCTCGTGGTAATCTCCAGTTTTCTTAGACTCAAAGCACCACAGACCGTCAACAACAAATCCATCCTCACTGCCAATATGGCAGATAATGAGCCTTTTCCCTTTACCTGGAAATCGAAGTACTAACTGGTGTAGATTTATTTCAATAAGCGAACCTTTTTCAAATGTTTTCATCACATTCAGCGAAAAAACATTGAGACATGAGTATCAGATTGCTATAATTGGGATTATTTAGTCATATTGAAAGAAAGAATATTGAACGTCGTATGATTACTCAGCGCTTCACAATTTAATTTAAAGTTATAAACCTCTAAAAAATGTATGATCAGGAACCTGAAATACGCGCAAATATTAATATTAACAAATTATAACTTTATAAAGCTAAGTATGAATTAAAATGATTAGAAATATTAGGAACGGTACACAATATAAAACTTAGTAACTTTTTTTAAGTTTATAATATTCGACATATTTTAAGATTATATTAAAAAATTATTGAAATATCGAAAACACATAAAAACATGGCTTAAAAAAGTTCTAACAAATGAAAATGACAATAAAACATCCACGCATTTTATCGAAAGTAATAAAAGTTTTGTTACTTGTAATATGTTTTATCTGCCCCCTGGAATTAATGTTTAGAACCTTGTTCCCAAGGTTTGAAAAACATCCGATTGTTGTCTATTACTCGTATTTACCTGCTGGATTTTTTAATCCGGTGGACAGTCCATCTAGAAAGGCCCTCCTGGATGAAGTTACAGAATCATCAACCCATACTTTACTTGTAGTGTGTCCTGCGTTTACCCATGTTTCATCAAGGTAATAAATCTTCCTGTTTTGATTTCTATATTTCCCAATTTTTGTTAAATAATCCCTCCTCCATAGCACAATTTCTTCTCTATCCAGTAGTAAACTATTACGACCCCGTTTTTTCCATTTGAAATTTAAATGCTTCAGTAACGCATGGAAAGTTGATCGTTTGAAATTTGGCAACGTTGTATCTCCATTTACCTCCTGCAGTACTTCATCTATAGTAGGTATTTCATTCCTAAAGAAGAATTCGTGCACTTTCCTCCTAATCGCATGCTTATCAGCTTCATCCAATGATTTAACAATACTTTTGCGATGTTTACTGGTCATTGGCTCAGAAAAGGTGTGATTTTTTTTGTATTGTCTTAACACATTAAACACTGATGCGCGACACACCCCAACTTTGTGAGAAACCTTCACAACAATTTCTTTGATGGTTGATGCCTCGTTCTCCTCGCGCTCGATCTTATATATATTCAAAATGACCTCTTTCATTTCTGCACTCAGGTGTCTTTTTTTAGAGCGTTTCCTAGGTGGACTACAGGAGTTTACAACTTCATCGGCAGTATCTGTACTACTGGGCATTTTGCGCAAGCAGTTGATAACAATAACAATCAATAACAAGGTATAACAATAACAACGACAAACTCAACAACTTAATAAGATAACAAACGAAAACGTCCAAAGAAATATCAAATTGCAATGATGCACACGACATACGTAACACGTCTGAACCTGAATGTGACTCTGCCTTGATACGACTGCTCTGCCGCTCGGCATAGGCATTTAATTGCGAATTGACCAATGAGGGCTCCTGTTTTACGTCGAGACGGCGGCGTTAGCGTGAAAATCACCCGAACCTTCTGTTTACATCCGGTCCATCTCTTATCTGAATATACTGTAAACCTAATTCTCACTCGGCGTGCGGCGATGGCGTAACCACAATCATGAATAATAACAGCTCTCTCTCTCTCTCACTCCTCCACTAAGTCAGCTCTTCTCGCTCGCTTCCTCGTCGAGCCGATGCCATAAAACAATCATGGCATGCGAGTCCGTTGAGGACAGTAACGACTTGTTCAAACAGGTAATACAAATTCCTTGAAAATCCAGCCTCTGTGGGTGTCATTGTTGTTTCTCTGCATGTACTTCAGATAATTGAACGCTTAATACCTCAAATGAAAGCTTGTTAGATAGAGATATAATTTACATAATTTGCACATTACATTACTACGAGATTTTTTACAGAAAATTGCATTTTTAATCAAATAAGTTAGTAAAGAAGAAAATGATACATTTAAAAAGCGTAATTTTAAAACGTTTGTATAGTCAACGCCAAACAAAGTGGCGTGCACGTCATCAAGGTGGGTGTGTTGAAAAATTTACATTGTTGCCAAACTTTTTGTAAAATAATAAAATTTATTATTTACATATCTAGGTTTATAAGCAATAT